ATTGTTAATTGCACGTGTAGTTATATTAACTTTTTTTAGAATTTTTGCTTTTTAATTTTGAATAAAACATTGCCTAATGATAAAATGTATTGTATCAATTGAAAATATTTTGAGAAAGATGAATTCATTGATTTGTTTTTGATTCAAAACCATATTGAAGTCCTCAACTCTCAATTCTATTTAAATTTAGTTGTTGCTATTCTAAGTGATTGATTTAGATGTAGAATTTCATTCTCTATCGAATGGTGCCACTTGCCATAGAAGTCATCGAGCAAAAAAGGGGAATTGAGTATCAAATTTTGGATGTTTGTTGTTGTAGATGGTTGTTAATATTTTGTCTTTTCAGATCCATATTGCCACATCTCCATGCACAACATTTCGAAAGAGTGACAAGAGGACATCTGAATGCTGCTAAAATATAGGATCCTTGCAGAAAAATTCAATTAGTATTAATGTGCAAATTCTATCAAGATAAGCTGAAACAGATTTGAAGTGTGCTAGGTGATGAATTCACAATAACAATCATCAAAAGTTTGAAGAAAAAAATTGAACAATCGATCGTTCTGTGATCGATTCTTTTTCATCTTTTCAACAAGATAAAAATCTTATGAAAAGAACTCTGAAGAAAAAAATCGATCAATCAATACAATTTCGAGAAAATTTTACCGATCACGATCAAAGACAAGTACTATTTCGTAAATATCTTTTGGTTTTTGATTTGAAAAAAAATCCAATGGCGAACGATCGCCGTTGTTTGAATACAAAATGATCAATAAAATTTTGACTTGATTTTATTTGTAGAAGATCAACATTCTCTAGAAACAAGTTTGATTATTATTACGCTATTTAGAAAAAAAACGAAAGAAAATAGGTAAATTACACGTCTTCATAGTGCCCGTCGACACATCATACGAACGCTGTGATAATTTTTTTAAACGTGGTTACATGTCACGCATGAAAAATCAAGGATGTAAAATGGAGAGTAATAAATAGATGAAACAAACAGAACGTCGTAGTTATACGAAGAAAAGAAATAACGAAATCATTCTACTACTAAATCAAATTTAATTCAAGTGACTAAGTATCAGATGATTAGTTATGATGTTGAACTCATTATCATTTTTCTTTTTTTGTCAAACTAGGTATATATTACAATGAGCGCCAATAAAGAACTTACTGAAGAACAAATATCTGAAATTAATCGTTCCTTTCATGAACTTGATAAGAACCAAAATGGATATGTAAACAAATCTGAAATCAAAGAACATATGAAAAAAACACATTTAGAGAATTTGGATGCAGTAGTTGATCATTATCTACGAAAAATGGATCAAAATACAGATGAACAAATCGGTTATGATGAATATCTCAAGTTTATGACGGCTATCTATCTTGGTGAACACAAAAACTTAAGAAAAAAATGAATGGGTGTTGTTATGCTTGATGAACAGTTCTAACCTTTTCACTTTGAAGCAGTTCACTAGTAGTTTTCATACGAGATGCTTAACAATATTGTAATCTTTTACTTCTGTTAGTTGCTCCATAGTATTTTAAAACTTTATAAATTTAAAAAAACAAAGTTATTTGATGATCCTTCTCCTAAACAAAAACCATATCGAGATCGATCTCAATAGGTCTATACACTCCATTATTTAGCAATCATTGCATCAAACTCTGGTATAAATAATAAAAAGGTGTTGATGAAAGGATAACCAACACTATAATGACCTTTTTTGTTCCAGCTGGATTTGAAGCCAGATATGCCTCTCATTTTCTCAAATACAAAGTTGATATTTTCCGGTTCTTGATCCCATTTAGTTCGTTCTTTTCTCTAATAATGCGAGAAAAAAATTGAGCATTTGGGGAAAAAAAAATTTTGCCTTTAAGATTGATGTAAAAAGAAAAAAGCTTTTAGATAGTTTTCAGTATTTGGCACTCTTTTAAGAAGATCCCAATAGATAACAAGTTTGGATATTGAATCAAACCTTTATGATATATCTGTCATACATCATTTGAAGAATGATGTAGATTCAACTATTTCTCTATACAGATCCATATTCATCTAGCAATGTGACTTAAAATCGTTGGGTCTAGCTTTGTTAGATTGTCGAACAGACCGATAAAAACATGGTAAGTTTGGAGTTCTGATATCAATCGATTAAATTTAGATGACAAATAAAAAGATAGTCGAAAGTGATTGACGAAACTAAAATTGTCAGAAGAGTGGCTAATTCGTGACCGTTCCTGTTCAAGACTCCTTGCTTTCTCAAAAACAAAAATCTCATCTGTCTATTAATTCTATGGAGTGACTGTGAAGGACAAATCCTAACAAATCGATCATCGACGAGTAGGGGTGAGAACTAGCTACTATTATTGCGATGTCATCTTTGATGAGAGAATGATCCGATGACTTTGATCTAAGTAGATTTAATATTTACTTGTCAAAAAGAGAGCGCAAAGTAGTGGAAGATTAACGACTTCACAATGAACTCTAGGATCACTATGTGATATCTAAGCAGATTAATTCAACGTATTCTATTCAATTTCGTTTTTTTTTTGTATAAATCAATGATATTTTATAAAAACAAATTCGTCCATGGATCAAATCAAAACAATAGATTAGGTACAGAGAATAACGGCGATAAAAATATCTGAATGATCTATTCAGTGAAATCAGACATCGATTTTTGATATATTTATCGAAAACAAAACGGTTAAATAATAACATCAATATTTCAAAAATCAACAGCTGAACGTTGTACTTTATCTTATTTGTTCTATCATCCATGTCAAATCTGTTGAAATACTGCTTATGGAAATCTATTTATGTTGTTCGTTTCTTTCCAATGTCGGTGACATTAACAATGTGTGATCGAAATTTGGACTGACTTCTATCATGGATAGCTATTCATTGACATTTATCAATTATTGCTTCAAATATTTCTTCTAAAATAATCAAGCTATGTCTGTATAGAAACATTTAAATACTGACATCTATCAGCAAATGCTCAAGAAACTTTTTCATCAGCGGACTCGATAAGGGAAAAAATTACGAAAATGTGAACACTAATTGTTGTGATCCATTTAATATATTTCAAAACAGAAAACATTCGATCAAAAGGAGTTCATCATATACTGAACAATATCAAAAGAATCTTTTTTTTTATCAATAAAAATTCTTTTCAGATGCTTTTCTAATCAATATTATCTATTTAAGCAGCCATTCGATAGGCGTTTCGACGCGTCGATTTGAGATTGTTGTGGGATCGAAATTGAAAATAGAGTACTCAGATTCTCACTATCAGATAGGTCGAGAGTTCAGCGATAGATCAGTAAAATGTGGTGCCTTCGACCAGTCGAACGATTTTAACCGAGAGGATCGAAATAAAAAGAATTTTTTCGATAGATGCTTCAGTCTCGCATCGTCGAAATCTATCGAATAAATACCGAGGAGGAAAGTAGAACCTGGACACTTACGATAAACAGTTGTCGAACATCTAAACTAAGTATGAACTATTTTTCTTCTATGAAAATTAGTTTTTCAATTCTTAAATGGATAGTACATAGGAATGTCATTTTCCTATAAATCTGTTTTGAACTTAGATTTACAAAATTTTTTCTGTAATTAAAATACTCAATCTTAATGAATTTAAGTTGGGTGTGGGTGTGGGTCTGCTCGTCATCCACTCTCACACCCACACCCTCCAGCAGTATAGGGTAGGATAACCCTACACATCTCTACCATGTCCATTATTATTGAAATGTCCTAAGTTGTTTGTTGTTGCATAGTGAAGAATAATGATAGAATTGATCAGATGTTTCATTTACACGTTCAACTGTAAACAACTAGCTAAAACAATGAATGATACTATATCGATGGCATAATCTCCAGCTACTCCGATTATTTAAGTTTTCTTTTGAATCAGTTTCATTGAGTCAGTTTAAGAAGGTCGATTTCAAACCTGAAATCAATCGGTCACTTTACTTGAAGTGACGTTCTCATTTAAAAACGAGTTTGAATTAGGTTTTCACCGAAGAATTATATTTTCCGTATGAAAAAGAGTTCATGTAGAAAACTTTAAAATCCACTCTGTTTTTAATATTATATTGAATCGCTATTTTAATTGATCATCTTGTCTAAATAACGACAGAAATGCATTCTAAAGCGATTGTAATCCTAATTGGAATGGATAATAAAAAAGAAAGAAAGAAAAATTCATCATTGATGAATTAATTTCACTGGCTACACATGACTATTTCACAGAGCCAATTTTTTTCTTTAACTAAGACATTTCTTATTATTATCAATCAGCATATTTAATATAAATGGTAAAATAGTGTATTCGATATCGAAGCAGAATCAATCATACGATTTCAGTCGTTTTGACGGTTTTTTCAAAGAATAAAAATGTCTACTGAAGGATACGAAAAAAAAATACATGTATAAGCTTGCTTTTTTGTTGACGGAGTCATCCAAAAACAAGAAGGTGATGTCATTTAAATAGTTTAAAAGGGAAACAATTCTTATGGTTCATTAATTTTCCGTTAGAAATTGTTATTCTCCTGTATTATTCTTTGCTTTGATGAGTGTGGGTTTCTGTGTGAAGGGTGTATGCAGAGATCAACCTTCGCTTTACACCTATCTACACACCCACACTCGATGGAACATTTTCGAAATTCTTTCTTTCGTCGCTCTTTTTTTGCTATTCTTTCGTTCACTATTTTTTCTCTCGGCCAAATTGATGCATCCCGTTGACGGGTCATCCGACGAAAAAAAAGAAGTTCATGTCATTTGAATAGTTTAAAAGCGGAAAAATTTTGATAATTCATCCATTTTCTGTTGTAATTTGCCATTCTTCTCTACTACACTTTGTTCTGATGAATTTTACTTTCACTTAAAAAAAAAACTTTTATTTAAATTCTTCATATTTCAGTCTTCTCTTACAACTACACTTGAATTAAAAAACAATTCGATTCATTTCGATAAACTTTTATTGATAATGGCATATACTTCTTCAATACCTGTGAGCTTTATTTGTCCTATAACACAAGATATTATGCAAAATCCTGTTCTATTAGTTGAAGATGTAAGTCGAATTGTTTCTTATGTCTCAAGTTCCTTCTTAATTCAAAGAGTTAATTTCATTGTGTTCAGTAGAAATCTAGGGAAAAATAACAGGCGCAAGACTTTAATCTGGATGTCTTTGCCATTTTTCATTCCATTGAAGTGTTAAAATTACACCGATCAGAATGTTAATAATAGGAATTTTAATTGAATTATCGTTGTTTTTTTATTTTAAGGGACATTCCTACGAACAATCTGCATTGGAACGTTGGTTCAAAACACACAATACATCTCCATTGACAAATAAACAATTAAAAAGTCAAACATTTGTAATTAATTATAATCTTAAATCGATAATTGAAGATTTTTGTCGTCAACAGAGTGAAGTGAGATCAATATTGGATCTTCGTTATTTTACTCTTCATCGTGGTTGTTCACAGAATGATCAATGGAAAAATAATCCGAAATTAAAAATAATAATATCTCTTATGGGTCCATCAAATGTTGGTAAATCATGTCTTGCCTCAAATATTGAGTATGGTGAACCTCAAACAAATTACAAACATGAAACTACACTAATAACAGATACTTACTTTTTCTATTTGGATTTGTTATTCGAAGATAAATATGCTATTATAATTCAACTCAACGATTGTCCAGGTAGTGATCGATTCGAAGCTGTTTCTGATCGACATTTTCGACAATGTCATGGTGCCATATTTATGGCTGATACAACTGATATAAGTACATTTGACCGACTTGATAATTATTGGTATAAAAATCTTCGACAAAAATCATTATTTGATTACGTTGAATGTGTACTTGCCTGTAATAAAATTGATTTACTTGAAAAAGATCATGATTTATCCTATCGTGAAAAATTCTTTGAACGAGCTGATACATTTGCTATAGATAAACAAATGTCAATATTTAATGTATCAGCTTGGCGTGGAGATAATATAAAAACTATGTTTCAACATTTAATTTTATGCATATTACAAAATCAATCATTACTTCAAAATCTCAAAGAAAGTCAAATAGACAGTAAAGAACTAGCAACTAGCCAAAATTCAAAAATTACAGCGGCTCCATTTTTACAATTGTCGACACAAAATAAAAATTCTTCATGTTGTTGACATTTTGTGTGTTGTTTATTCTTTGATGTATAGATCGATCGGACAGATATATACAGTTAATAAAATGAAAATATTAAAGAAAATAAATTGATACAAACTAAGTCTATTGAATTAATAATAGAAAAAGGAAAATTTTAAAATCAACAAACAAAATTCGTATTCAAATTAATTTTAAAGAAATCATTTGAAGGACAAAAAGAAAATGAATTTAAGTTAAATTTTTAAAGAAAAGAAACTCGATTGAAATGTATTTTCAAGATAAAGAAGATTTTCACAGAAAAAAGATATTTATCATGACAAATAGTCATTGTATTGTTCTACTAAACAATAGAATAGCGAAAAATATTTGAATCAATCAAAAACTGTAAAGAATTTCAGAAAAAATTATTTATAAAAAAGATAGCTGTCAATGCAATAAGGGTGTGGGTGTGTATGTAGATGGGGTGAATGTGGGGTTTGGATGTGAGTGTCAATGGATAGAAGAGCTAGACCGACATCCACACTCTCCGGTCACAACATGATTATCGAATTTTTCTCCCCTGAAAAAGAAGGTTCTTGGGGGGAAGATATAAAAACAGATGATTTCCAACGAAGAAATCATTCAATTGTTGAATCAAATAACAATCATTTTTTTTAATGCTTTAGATTGGTTTCGACGATACAATTTGGAGCAATCCAATATCAAATAATAAAATAAAAACATGTACAGATCATTTTAATTTTTTTTCTTTTTCCCTATTTTGTTTTGGATAATGTGGAGAGTGGCAAGTCCTCCTTTGGCCTTTTTATCAATGTTTCTTTTTGTATTTTAGAGAATGAACAGTGAAGAAAAATGTAAAAGTGTAGTAAATCATCTCATTCTGTTCCATTATATAACATTATTTAATATTTTTCTTGTAGCTCTCAATACCATCACGTCTTTATGAACAACAGCATCAACATCGTCCAACATCAAACATCATGAGTAATTATTTTTTTCCGATGAGAATAGGGCGGAGAGGGAATGAGAATAGATAGTGACATTGAGATTGAGAAGGGTTCGGGTGGAACTAAGCAAAGTGAGTGTTAGTGGGGTGGGGCTGAGTCATCTCCATTGAGATTACACTTCAGTTATCCACAGATGTTTCGAATAAGTCCTTAAAATTCTGCAAGGAGCTATCTTGGTGACCGTGGTACGGGATTGGGCTTTCTCCAGACTCATCGACACATCTCTTGAGTGGAAGGAATGTGAATGATTTGAGTTTTTCCCGTGCGTACATAAGCGTTACGCTGGCCACGGCACTACTAGGGTAGCTTCTGGTCGCACGCAAATAGAATAGCCATTCCTTTCCTCAATTCAACGTGATTTATTTAGTAGAAAGAAAAGAAAAATTAATCATCATCATGAGTTTATTCGATTGAAAAACGTTGAACACGATGATTTAGACGATCAGTGATATAGAGATTGCCATGTTGATCGAACGACAAACCCGTGGGACCATTTAACTGATTAGCTCCTTCTCCATAACCATTTCCACCCACAATGATAGTGCCTTGTTTCTTTCCTTCAGGCCAACGCATCACTCGATCATTATTGCAATCTGTCACATAGATGGTACCCAACATGTCGACGAACAGTCCGTTCGGATACGACAATTTTGTCAAATCCTTTCCAACTCCTTCACCTCCAGCAACGACAATTCCTTCTTTTGCATCTTTATTCCACTTCATCACACGATGATTGTAATTGTCTGACACGTAGACAGCCTGTTGTCGATCGACAAAGATGTAGGTCGGGCCGTTGAGTTGATTGAGACCAGCACCTTCGCCATAGCCACCAGCTACAATAGTTCCATTCTTGTCTCCTATTTGATATCGTCTTACTTCATGTTTCTCCGTGTCAGAGATGTAGAGATATCTTTGGTCATCCATGGCCAATCCCCAACAATCGACGTTGTCGACGAGAATTTCTCCGTGACTTGTGCCATCACGACGAGACCATCGTACGACTCGTTGATTGAAACTATCACAGATAATGAGGCTATCCGTCTCTTTGTCCATCAACACATCTCTTGGGCAATATAATTGATCCAACCGATTTCCTTGACCATTATCACCAACTAAGACTTGTCCTTTTGTATCACCTATCTTCCATTTGACGATACGATGATTGTAATAGTCAGCAATAACCACCGTTTGATCATCATCAATGAAGAGGCCGTACGGCCAGTAGAGTTGATTGGTAGCACCACCTTTTCCGTGGCCACCAGCAACGGTCACTGCATTCTGTGACCATCGAGCGCTGTCTGGAATATTGGGAATCACTATAACGAACGAAAAAGAAAAGGAATCGTCGCTGTGGAAGCGATTCCCCTTTCTCTTGTGGGAAAGGAGATATGAAGAAGACATTCATTTTCGAAGAGAATTTGATAAAACTTTCGAGAATGTTCTTTCAGCAGAGTGTGTGCGTGTGGTTCTTGTCTTTTGCTCAGCCACACCCACATCCTCGTTATTTTTATGCTAGGATGAGAAAACCACTATGATTTATTTTTATCCTTTGATGTGGGTGTGTGTTGTGAAAAATGAGAATAACAACATTCACACTCACACCAACTGATTGAAAATCATGAGAATTCGACAAATCTAATGGTAGTACCTAATATTCATTTTCATTCATTATTATGATAGAAGCGCAGAATCTGTCGCAACATCAAAGAACTTCTGTAAATAGTAATTCTTTTTCAAAAATACTTTCTCCATCTAATAGGATGAAAAATATAGAATGTCTTACCTAGAACATATATTTACAGAAAAGCTCTTCGAACTCACGCTTACTTAACATTTAAATATATTGATTAAGAAAACAACAACTCTATTTTTCATCAGTTGAACCTAGTAATCTACATCATTTTTCTTCAAACTATTCCACTCAAATGTATTAGGTAGTACAATGGACGTTTTATATTCCTGTCTATGTTAATGATTGTTAAAGATAATTGTTAAGTGTTACTGTTGCTCGAGTTTTCTTTTGAAAGAATTTTCCATATAGTTTGTAGAAACTTAAATTTTGAACATTTTTGCTCCCTGTTATTTTTTTGTATTTTAATGAGCAGTTCAACTGCTAACGGAAATTATTTCTAGCTGTATTCTTCAGATCTTTTTCAGTCTTCTATATCTATAGATTATGACATTTAGAAGTTCAGAAGTGAGCACAAAGAATCAATGAAAATAAATATGAAGAAAAGGCACATTCTTATTGTTATTTTCAACATAGTTCTTTTAAGTTTTTTTATGAAAAGTGCACATAATTCAATATTCTATTTACCAACAGAAGCATAATCAATACTCGTGGAGTGAAAAATTATCGAAGCTGAAGCATATCAAGATTCTGAGTAATACTAAAGAGGAGTCGTTTTGAACATAACAATAATATCTCGCTTCTTATAAACACAGGAAAGAAAGAAACCTTTTAGGGATATTCCGATTTTCTTCTTTATGAAAACATATTTTTTATAAAAATTCCTCATGTGCAATAGTTTTCCAAACATTGCCACAAACTTAAAAATTTTCTCTGAACGCACGTTCATACGCGCAGATATATTCTACACGTCTAAAGTATGGTCATGCAATATTGATTGAAGTAAAAAATTTTTCGTATTTTTGTTTTTAAGAAAGGTTAAAATCGATGGTCATACTCATCGACGTTATAGCTTAAGGATAACTGAATGTGATTTGATAAAGAACGTAATGTGTACAATTGAAAAATTACGACTTGGACGGACAAGGATGATAAAATTCGTTTGTTTACGTGAGAAATTAGAAGAATGGTTCTGAATTAAGTTGGTAGAAAAACTTCTGATATTTTAAAACATCTCGACTTGTTACAGAAAATAATCAAGTTCTTTGGTAATTTCAATTGCTATTTTATTGATGAAATAGTTCCATTACATGAAATCTTCACAAAATTAGAGAAAGGTATAATGGAAATATTCTGAAATTAATGAAAGAAATAGTCTATAAGCTTCCGCACTTTAGAGATATGGGAGTTGTAATGATCGAGTCAGAATAAGAGAGTGATATAGTCTAAATCTCTACAAATCGATGCAAAACATAGTCCTAAATTTCTCAAACTCGGAAAAAGCTCACCAGAAATTTTTTCCAAAACAAGAAAAAGCTGTCGTCAAAATTTTCAAAAGCAGAAGGGGATACTATACTCAACTTCCTACCTATTGCATTGTCCCTGATAGATTGATTTAAAAAGGAAAAAATGAGAAATATAAAATCATTCATACTTGATGTCACTGATGGCATTTTATTTGAAACATTGTTGACAGGTTTCGTTGGTGTCATCATCGTTGGCATCGATGAAGAACATTTACTTGATTTATGCGCGACCGCAGGAAAGTTCAATTCGTTCGATTTTGAAAATGGTGGTTTAATAAGGGCAATTGGTGGCGTCATTTCTTTTAATTGAATAATATGAAGGTCAGGTGCAGGATTTAAATGACCCATGACTTCGAAATATGAACCTGGCATAAGAATAACTTCTTTTTCGGTATTTTTGAAATATGAATGTTTTGTAACAGATTTTCCATTAATACATTCAATTGAAAAGAGAGTACGTTTTCCATGTTTACCCAAAAAATGATGCGATTCAAGTACTTCAATATCAACAGTACAAGAATTTACTCCCCACCAAGCAAATTTTGTACCCTTTTTGTATTTTGAACTTAAATCAACATCTCGAATACCGCGCCATACTATTCCACTTTGTGATGAAAGTTTATATAGAGCAGTAAGAAATAATTTCAGATATGAGAACCAAGGCTTCAATTCTTCACGATTCTCAGCACGTAATGATCGATTAAGTAACAAATATAAGCTTGGTCCGCCACTAAATTGCATTGTATAAAGATGAATAGAAGCTGATTCTTGTTGAGTTAATCCATCAGCTGGATTTTGACAATTATGTAATGCAACAAAAACATTGTCTTCAATTTCATTAAAAAATTCAGTAACTGGTTCAATGGCTTCAGGAAGTGAAACAAGTGGTTTATCTTGATAACCTTTTATTGGTGACAAAAGGTAATCTACAGGTTCATTGTAAAGATCAGTGAAACGAGATTCGCTACCGAATTGCATTTCCATAGTCATCTGATGTATTTCAATTCACAACAAAGAAAGAATAAATATCAAAAATCTAGAAAAATAGATAATCGAATATACTGTTATCGTACTTCCATATGTTAAATAGCTTAGAGATATAATGATGAACAAGTCAAAAACAAACATAGAGTTCGATGTTTTAGTCTAGTATATTCTCTTATGAAAACGCTGTTCATCGAACTTGACCGACAATAAATAAGATTTCAATTGTACAAGGACAAATTTGGTGATATTGTCAATCTTAAATGGAAATATGATTGAAAAACGTCACAGATTCTCTACTCCATAATTATCAGAAATAAGATTTCAATAATATTCCTAAAGTATATTTTGATCTGCTACAAAAGCAAACGTCTCACCATAAGCCGTTCTCTCCCCTTCAGAACAGCATCTTTATGCTACGACATGTCACAATGAGTTGCGGCTAATTAAACTAGTAAATGAACGTGAACTGGAGACAGAAAAATGAATCAAGGAGACTGTTAACTAAAAAATATTTATGAAACGATCGTCCAACAGAAAAGTTGATCATTGTGATCGATTTCATATCTGTTTCAATCGTTTGTAATGTACAGATTATATTGGCACTTTGGGTGTGTTATTTAGTAGACTTGTTTCTCTTTTTGAAATTATCCTAATAAATTACTTACTATGACGAAATAAACAAAAATTCAGAATATTGAGACAAATTTAGGTTGAAATACGGTTGAGTAGGCTTGCAGTTGTGTATATAACACTGTTTACTTGTTTTGTCGAATGGTTCTCTTTTTCTTACCTTTGCAGCAAGAAAACTTTATTCATTTGTTACCATTCTTTATTTTGCCTACTTTTCTTTCCTTGTTTTTTTTTTATTTTTTCGTACTACATACTCTATCACGAACAGGCCTGTACACGATGCATGTGTACAAAATGATATGCTTCAGTGATTTGAGCACAGTGAATCATGCACACGAAATAAAAAAAACAGATATTTGAAAAGCTATCGAAAAGTAAAAGAAAGTATAAAAAATTAAACTGGGTTTTGTTTTAAAACCCGTAATATGTTATACTCATGTATATATAAATAAAAAGTTTACGAAGAATTTCTCTAGTTATTATTATACACAGTTGGTATTAAGTTAGTACAACAGTACATACTCATCTTTTCATGCTTCGAATTCTGCTTTTTGAAACAAATTTGGTTTAATGAAATTAAGAAATTAAAACGATTGAATGCCTAATAACAACAGTAAATAATTCAGTGTATATGATAAATACACTCTTGCTTTTACATTAACACTTTAATGTACTCAAAAAAATCTCTCTGCACGAAGTGTATGAATTACCAAAAATTCAACAGAAATATTATGCTACAAGAATCTAAAATAATTTTTCAAGGTTATCAGCATAAGAGTGATATTCGTGTTGATAGCTGTTAATGGCTTTCGATAATGAGGAGTAACAAAATTCTCACAAGTAGAATCTAAGAATACTGTATTCTATATTACATTTATCATAGTATACATACGAATTGTCTTCATATTAATATAACTCTAATAATACTAGAGTAGAACAGCACTAATTATATTACAACCTCTGTAGGTGAGGTGTCGGTGTGCGGGTATGGGTGTGGATGAGGAGTTTGAATGTGGGGTGAGTATGAGTGCGGTGCGAGTGTCGGTCTAACTCTTCTATTCATTCATACCCACACTCACACCCAAACCCACTCATAGCCGACGCCTATATCCGTACACCCACATCCACCCTTCAACATAAGATTTCAATCAGTTACAAGATTAGTTGGCAATTTGATTCTCTCATAGACTGGTGTAATATCAAATTGGAAAGCAAAAAAAAAAGATGTGTCACTATGCAAACACAAAATAAAAGTGATGAAATCCCACAAAATAATAGAGAACAAACTCAATTTTGATTGTTATAGTTAATAAGATTTTTTTTCTTTTGCCTTGTCCTTCACGTTGACACGTGGTAAAAATATAAGAATTTTCCAAGTTTTTTTTTTTTGTGTAAAGAAAAACAAACATGTGTCATAAAGAACTATTTAAAACAGTTGACGAACATCACCTTTCGAAAAATCAACAGTAAGTATATATTCTTTATTCTGCTTCTAGATGAAGGCAGAAATAATTCTCCACAGGCAGATTTATCCATATTTATCTTAAGAAGCTAAAGAAAATTTTGTTTAGAATACTGTTGCTTTTTAGCAGAATTTAACCGAAATGCTGAATCATTATCAGATTTCGTTGGATCCTACACATTTATTTCTACATCTAAATCAAACTTATGCTTTGATTTTTGTTTCTTCTCCATGACGATTATTGACATTATTTGAATTAATATTTTCTTCTGCATGCTACATTTCAACACGCTTGAAATATTCGTAAAACTGGTGAACATTGGAATTATACTCGTCAGTAAATTTTGTGCAATTTTTCCTGAACTTTAACAGTATGAATGTGTTTATAATCGTCATGAAAAGCAATATAAGCAAGGATTAGTGTGTAGGATCCTAAAAGTTTCTGGTAGTAATTCAGAATTCTTTAATTCTGCTTGGTACAATTCTGCTACTGCTGGACATCTAGATAGAATATATTAATCAATATAACCCTAAAGTATGTTATCATCGACATTGATAAGACTCTCATCTACGAGTTGAACACATCCATCGTGGTTCCCATTTTACTCCTGCAGAAATTATGCTGAAAGTTTTTTTTTTTATTATCTTGTCCTATATATTTTTTACCTTGTTCACTCTTATATGTGTATTTTGTTTTACATAGACATTTTTGCCATAAATTTCTCATTCGATTCATCCTGTATAAAAACAAACAATATTTGTTTTGTTTTTAGTCGACAACACTTGAAATTGTAAGGTAAATAAAAGATGACTATACTTCTTCAATAATATTAAAATTGTTCGATTTTCATATCAAATAGTCTTTTCATCACATTGGTTCAATTAATGGTTTATATTTACTCTTTATAAGGTCTGCAAGCTTAAAGAAAAAAGTCACTAAATATCATACAAAACTTGAAATAATCTTAAATACAGTAATTTAGAATGGCAAATAGCAGAGCAATAGGTATTGATTTAGGTACAGTATATTCATGTGTCAGTGTATTTCAAAATGGCAAAGTTGAAATTATTTCTAATGAACAAGGCAATCGAACAACGCCATCATGTGTTGAATTTACCAATAACGAACGTTTGATTGGTGATGCAGCTAGAAGTCAAATATCTATTAATTCAAAGAATACAATTTTTGGTTTTAAACGACTTATCGGTCATAAATTTGATGATGCAACCGTACAGGCTGATATGAAACATTGGCCATTTAAAGTAATTAATGATAGAGACAAACCAAAGATTCAAGTTGAATACAAAAACCAAATGAAATTATTCACATCTGAAGAACTATCTTCAATGATATTAGCAAACATGAAGAATATAGCAGAAATTTATCTTGGTAAAAATGTGTCTGAAGCTGTTCTTACTGTTCCAGCTCATTTTAATTATTCACAACGACAAGCTATCAAAGATGCTGGTACTATTGCTGGTCTTAATGTATTACGTGTTTTAGATGAATCAACAGCAGCTGGTATTGCTTATGGTTTTGATAAAAGAATGTCAGACGAACGAAATGTATTAGTATTTGATTTAGGTGGTAGTAATGTTAATGTAACAATTTTAAAAATTGAAGAAGATATCTTTAAAGTAAAATCAACAGCTGGTAAATAACAGGAAATTCGATCTTTTTTTTTTGAAAGATTTTTATTTTGATTTGTTATTCAAGGTAGTACACACGTAGGTGGAGAAGATTTTGTTAATCGAATGGTTGAATATTTTGCTCAAGAATTTAAATGTAAATACAATAAAGATTTACAAGGTAACAAACGTAGTCTTCGGCGACTACATACTGCTTGTGAATGTGCTAAAGTAAATTAAGTTTTAATTTATTATACTATCACAGGAAAAAATTTCAATCACTGTTTTTTTTCTTCTTTCTCTAGCTTACTTTATCATCATCATGTAAAGCATCAATTGAAATCGATTCATTACATGAAGACATTGATTTCTATTCGACAATAACGCGTCATTGTTTTGAAGAACTTAATATTGATTTATTTCATTCAACATTGGAACTTATTGAAAAAGCTTTACGTGATGCTAGAGTGAATAAAGCAAATATTGATGATATTGTTCTTGTTGGTGGTTCAACACGTATCCCAAAAGTACAACAACTTTTACAAGATTTCTTTAATGGTAAACAATTAAATAAATTAATGAATCCAGATGAAGCTATTGCTTATGGAGCTGCTGTTCAAGCAGCTATTTTAACCGATAACCAATCAGAAGCAATTAAAAATGTATTGCTACTTGATGTTGCACCATTTTCATTGGTAAGTAAAATTTAAAAATAGAGAAGACTTTTGTCAGACCTCTTTTTCTTTTAAGGGTATTGAAACTGTTAATGGTGTTATGACAACATTAATTAAATCTAATACAGAAATTCCTACAGAAGAAACACAAACATTTTCATTAACATCATTTCCAAAGAGTCAATCAGGAATTATTATTAAAGTATTTGAAGGTGAAAATCCAATGACAAAAGATAATCATTTACTTGATAATTTTGAATTTTCTGGCATGTTATTAAATTCTGATGATGGACTAGGGATTGAGATTACATTTGATATCGATGCAAAAAATATATTAACTATTTTAGTTAGTGATAAAACTTCTGGAAAAGAAAAAAGAATGACATTTACAAATAAAAGCGAACATTTATCTAAAGATGAAATTCAACGTATGATTGTTGATGCAAAAATATATAAAAAAGAAGATGAGATACAACGTAATCGTATTAGAGTTAAAAATTCATTTGAATCATATTGTTTTAACATGAAAGCAAAAATTAATGATAAAAATTTGAAAGATCAAATTAATGTTTATGATAAAAAGAAAATGATCGACGCTATTGATAACATATTGACATGGTCAGAAACAAATCAGGTGAGAAAGTCATTATTATGATGTTGGGTATTTTATTTTATTTTTTTTAGTTTGCTGAACAAGAAGAATTTGAAAATAAACAAAATGATGTTGAAACCTTATTTAGGTGAAAATCGACTTATTTTTCATACTGGTTTTAACGATTTTGTTCTTAATAGACACTGAATTTCATGTTCAAGACATTTTATCTTCAAAACTATACTATAAGAGCTATAATATAACTGTAACAAATCATTACGCTTATTCAAGTATCATGATTCCTTGTACTGCTCTATCGATTTTTTTTTCTTGTACAATCCATTTGACGATTTCTACCTCTTCTTAATATCATTCTGGTTCTATTTTTTTAAGCTTTATTGATATCTAACTTTCAAGTTAATGAAACTAATTTTGTTCAATATACAAACTCGATTGATTTTCTCTGTATTACGAATGATTTTTAGTTAATCTTAATTGTTATTTGTATAACTGATTTGAAAGTGACGAGTTGTTTCATTTTGACTATTCAAATTTGTTTCATTTCCAATTCAATTTTATCTAAATTTTAATCATGTCTGACACGTATCTAATAGTAAACATTGAAAATCGAAATGATTCTAAGTAATAGAAGTTTTCAGAAATTTCTGTTACATCAAAATGTTCTATAACGATCTCTTTTTATGATTCAAATATTTATAGAAAGTTGTTTACTATATAAATGGTATGGGAGTAATACTAAAGGATAGCTGAAATATATAACATACAGAAAAAAATTCAGTAAACTTCTTATTTCTTTTAGAAGACAAAATTACTCCATCTGTTAACACTGCACCAAGCAAAAATCATGAAATATCCAAATCATATTCACATTTCCTTGATATTCGAAATGAACATCAAGATATGCTCTTACCGTAATTTTCCATACATTATCTATGATAAATATTATTCGTTACATTTTATGTTTAGAATCGAAGGTTTTGAAGATATACCTCTGTTATCTTTGGAAAATGCTGTCAAACACTTGGAGAATATTATTCCAAATGTAAGACGAAATGCATGGATTGCCAAAGAAAGATCTATTGTTGTTGCTGATGGACTTACTCAAGATGAATCAGCTGCTATTCAATTATATACGATGGAATGGAAACCAAGTGATCAATCATTCTACATTCATATCAATACTGTTCTACGAGAATCAAATCGAGATAGACTCACTCCATTTTTATATTATCTAAAGCTTGTTCTAACAGCTCTGTGGAAACTTCCATCAATAAAAACAACAGTATGGAGTGGTGTTAAAGGTGACTTAAGCATTCAATATCCGATTGGTAAAGAGTTCGTCTGGTGGGGATTCAGGTCAGTTCTATTATCGTTATATTTTCTCTCGATTTTACCATCATTCTTTGTATAGTTCTTGCACTAAATCACGACGATTTCTTGAACAAGAAGAGTTTTTGGGTAAGACAGGCGTAAGAATCTTGTTTCGTATCGAATGTGAAACTGGCAAGTCTATCCGTGCCCATTCATATTCCAAAACAGAAGATGAAATTCTTCTTTTCTCAGCTACGCGAATGCGAGTAATCAATCAAATGGATTCTAATGATGACGCAGTTGTTATTCAATTGCAAGAGATTAAATCTCCATTTCTTCTGCTTCAATCACCATTCATGTAATTCTTTTTTTGTTTAACACCTTATTGTATATTTTAAAATAATTTTCTCATGTAAGAAAGTCATTCAAATAAAAAGAAGAAACTAATTATATATTGGTTTCATGTTTCAAATTTACTAATAATAGTTAACTGAAGCAAAAATTTTTGATTATGTCAAATCATTGTGGTAAGTATCAAAGATAGGTAGAAATGTCTTAGTACACACTCAAGAGTATTCGTTTCTTATTATCTTCGTATATCCATGACTTCGGCCATTCTCATTTATTTGGCTTGACTTGATTAAGTTTATGGAACTCGTGCGAACGACATTTGTTATCAGAGTCACATAACAGTCACAAAGATCAAATTAAGTTAGTCAGATTCAAGTGAACTTCAAAACAAATTCGTCTAATTTTGAGCTACTTATAGCAAGTTTATGATCATTAAATTAATCAACATATTAATTGAATAACGAGTCGTATGAACATTGTATATCTAAAAAAAATGGTTTTGAAATCATTTTAAGTAAAAATAGAATATACAAAGAAGATTGCTGGATATGACTAACTTAATCACGAAGGGATGGAAAATGTGGTACATAAAACACATATGAGTTTAATGTACATAACAGAGTCGAGGAAAAGTGACAAAAAATGCACTCTTAACAAATTCTATAGTGTGACATGTATATGCACACATGAGGAATAGAATATGAGCAAACAAACTTAAATTTGAATTTCATATGTCATAGTCGAAACTGAACGCATTTACCATTTATTCGATCCACCTACGTAATTCATCATTACCAACAAATATTTTCTAATGACGAATTTTGATTTTCACGAAAGTGCAGGAAAAATAATAATTCACTCGAGTGGCAATGATATACTCAAGTACATACTTCTTAAATCTACCTTTAAAGCAAGTTTAGTCGTAAGTGTTTGTAGAGCAGCAAATTTTTTGGATAAGATATTACATTTGCTGAGGAAGATGAGAATTTTTTGTAGTTTGTTGTCAGTGTGATCTCACATGCGTTTTTTACTTGCGTACAATGCGTTTTCCATAAGTTTTAAGGCACGGCAAATTTGTTCATATGTAGATAGAATAATATATAAGTGAATATTTTTATATGTGCCTTGAGTACCCATGTCAGTCTTTCAAATGGCTTATTATTGAATAATATTTTCTCTTGTAAGAATGAAAATATTAATATGACAATGTGAGGATAAATTTCTTGCAATTGAGGGGATGTGGGTAGGGTGCAGCTGTTGGTTATCTCTTTATTCACATCCGGACCTCACCAACATTCTTTATCTTTTTTCAGAGAAAAAATATAAGTATCTTGTAGTGCGCAGTCTGTCTTTTTCAGCTGTTGGTCGAAATCCAAATTTTCTTCTCTCTCCTTGTCTATCGAGCATGAAATAAGCTGTCGACGTGAATGCTGAGTGTCAGTGGATTATCTGTTTGTGTACATACAACAAATCAATAAAATCTAGTAAAACTTTTCTGAAATGGCTGCATGTGTTGACAAGCATTAGAGTTATGCACTGTATTTACGAACGTTTTTGCTTGAAGATTCATTTGTTTCTTAAAATGATCGGTTATATTTTTTAATAATTTAATATTACAAGTATATTATGTTGAAAGTTCTTTATTTCATATTTGAAATAATCTTCATTGGCAAAAGATCCTCTTTCTTCCTGCTAACAACATTTTCATAAGTGCTGTCCGAAATATACTTCCACCAACTAATGTATACATATAGAATGGTATTCCATTCGCCAAAAAGCTAAAAAGCACAGCGAGAGTGTAGACAAAATTGTCGATAGCAACTTGCAAGTTGGATGAGTTTCTATTCATTGTTATAGTTGCGTACAGTTTTTGCATGCCCAATGGGAGACCAAATATAAAGAGCAGGACAACTTGTGCAAGAAGCATAAGGAGAAGACGAGAATCAGTCTTGTTTCGTTGTTGTTGTTGATTTCCATTGGTTATCCATATGCCATTTATAGCCGATATATCTCGAGGTTGAATATGATTTCGTGAGTGACGTACATTCTTAATGGTCATTAAACCAAAGGTGAACATAAGCAGAATCGGAATCAGAGTGGTAAGGAATGTAAGAGATATATCCGTGACAAAACGACATGTCAGTGTTATTCCGTAGCATTTCAGAGGAGCATTAATCATATTTGGTTCATAACAATATAGAATATGACAAAAGAGAATCGTAGCAAAGATTACAGTGACAATTATACCTCGTTGTGCATTTTTTAATGTACTCATTTGGCGAAGGCGAACATTGGTGCTTGATAATAGCCATCGATCTATAGCTGCTAATAATATGAGCCAAAATGCTACTGCTCTTGCCACGTTGAGAATAAAAGATCGAAATTTACAAAGAAATCTGTCGGTACTTGTTAGATCGGCTGTCCAACCAGACAACATTCGTGAAGTAAGACCAGAAAGGATAGCAATAAAATTAGCTACAGATGAGACTAGAAAAAGTATTGCGCATGAATTTTTCCGAAAAGCTCGTTGTGATAAAACAAGAATATTGAGAATATTACCAGATGCACCAAAGAGAAAAATGAAAATTGAGAAATAACGATAAATTTCAGTCGAAATATTATTAATGTATGTGATGAAGTAGGCATCGGACGATGACATTTTAGAATCTAATGGATCACTGGAAAAAATGAACAGGAAAATTTAACAAGTCGATTATGTGCTTCTTATTCTTCGGTTTCCAACTGTTCTACTTAATGAGCGTCCATAATTAGATAAGTTTAAAATAAATCAGAAGAATATATCAGGAAATACATTCGAAAAAGAAGTAAAGAGAAAGCAAAAACGGCATTCGGAATCTCTAAAAGATAGTACAGAGTTCAAAATTTCCCTCTTCGTAATCATTTGTTATAAAAGGACGATGTTTCTTTTATTTTCAAACTCGTATTTTCAAGGTTTCTTGAATCCTAATAGACTCTCCCAGCTTTTAAAAATCACTTTTAGTTCATTTTCACATTATTTTTCCAAACAATATTTAAACAAGTATTTTTTTTAAGTATTCTAATGATCCAATTGTTGTAGTGACTAGCACATGAGAAAAAAACTCTTATTTTTTTGTCTGAGTCGAATGCATAAGAATGTCTATAATGTCTTGCAAGTTGCATTCGTCACATTATCATTGCAAAATTAAATAAATGAAGAGTGGTTAGAAATTTTTCGTTATTGTTTTATTTCTGAAAACATTCCAATGCAATGCTTTCGTCGGTTGCCATCTCACGGTTAACTATCATTACCTTTTCAAATGAGTATGTGATTCGTAATTAAAGAAACGTGCATACTGTGCAACAAAAAAACACGATCATTACTGGAAGAACGTCCCCATGTCACCTATTTTTTAACAACTGCATCGCAGCTACACGTTACTGTGACATTTTCACCGTTACTGCACGTAATTGTGTCGGATTATTTGCATCATGCTATTCAATGTAATAGATAACGAACAATTATAAGTGATTTTCTCTGATTCCTAATTGGTGATACTCTAGCGTTAAAATTTAGCTACAGAGGGACTCTTTAAAAGAAAAGCTGAGTGAAACCGATGGTTGGTATATAGACGTGTTTGTGGATGTAGATAATCATTCCACCATCAATACTCGCACACTCTCATTTCAATTAAAGAGCTGCATAGTAGAGCGAATTCTAGAAGTTCCCACCTGTTTTATTAGAACAACCCTTCAATATAAAATACAATTAAAAAAACAAACTGCATTACTAAAAACAGCAAAAATTATAGTATTGTTGTTAATTTCAGTCGTTAAATATACCAATGAAGTTCAACAAATCATCGGTCCAGTATTAAAATGTATATATCAAAGTGCGTTGCAGATGTAGACATATTACTATGTGACAAGTTCTATTTCGTCGTTTAAATAGTAAGATACATAGAAATATGTAACCGACCTAAGCTGTCATCTCATATCAAATAAAAATTTTCGTGTTTTTTAACATAATAAAAATATGTTCGGTTTTAATTAGAATCAATCCGTGGCTCACTTCAATTCAGTCATTCTGAATTAAACTTCTTAGAAAAAAATGTGATTGGTCATTAGGTCATATTATCCATTCCTATTTGAATAGGTCTTGTCATCCATAGCCATGACGAATGAATGGCATAATGCAATAAAAGAAAGGATTGAACATTATTTTAAACCTTAAGCTATAACCTATGGACAACATCTATATAAAGATTGTAGATTTTTACTAAACCTTCGTCATTATTCATCCACTAATAACAAAAACATGATTCTGTCAGGGTACAGTGTGGATGTGGGGTGTGAATTTTATATTAACCTGCAAACTTATAACTACACCCACACTTTTAATAAGTTTCAAGCGAAAGAAATGTCATAAATGCTTCGATCGGCTTTTTTAATTTTTGATTTTTTAGTTTAGATTTGATGAAGATTAACGACCGTGAAATTTACACCTAGTTAGTATTCTACAACGATGATGATAGTGATATTGAACATATACCAGATCATTCACCAATAGATATTGACGAACAATCATACTCTATTGAAACCGATCAAATTGTCATTGAAATCAGTCATATGTTTTTCTGGACGATATCCAAAACGACGTATCGACCGAAAAATACTGAACCAAAGAGCCACGTATAATTTTCATAAGCTCCTTCTGAACGGAGGAAAGAAACGATGATGTATTTGTGAACAATCTTAGGTTTCAAATATCTTAACAGATATAAGAATTTATTTATACAATTAATCATCGTCATCTAGTACATTATTCAAGTTCATTTCGGCCAGTTTCTTTGCTAAATCAATGGCATAGTCTTTTCCTCTACCCATATTCTCGTCGGAATTCGGTTCTATATTATCATACCATCGAGCAGGAATCCATCGCCAACCATGCAAAGCACCAACAATATCTCCGATAATTGCTGTCACAGTATCAGTGTCACCACCCATGTTTACACCACGAACGAGGCATTCTTCAGGTTCACGATAACTTGTGCATACAACCCATAAGGCACATGGGATTGCTTCGATTGCTTTAAGTTGAAAACTGTTACCAAATAATCGTACTACTTCGTAATCCGTTCTACAAAATACATTCGAAAACATAACAATTTTATTTTCAAAGCTTTTTCACTCGATACTCAGTATTGGCTTAGCGTTCCCCTTTTCTAGATCTATCATACAAAATTGGGTATATCGATTTTGCGATATTTTAATCGGAAAGTTTTCGAATAAATACCTTTTTGTTCGACTCGCACCAATTGTACCATACTGCTTATTATAGAGTGCAATCAATTTTGTAATCTGATTCTGCATACCATGTGTTCGTGCGATCGAATGTAGAACATTGAGATATTCAGATGGGTTAAAAGCGTCAACCGATTCGCAACGAAGAGCCAAGATAATGGCTTTAGCCAAAACAAATGCTCCATCTATACCTTCAGGATGCACATGTGAAGAGATAATGGACATACGAACTGCTTCATAGAGTTGTTCATCAGATGCATCATGAAAGGCGAGAGCAACTGGAGCTATTCGCATCGCTCCACCATTGGCAAACGATCCATCAGGAAAGCTAATACGTCCACACTTACGATAGTCTATATTATCATCGAGTACACACTATATCAAAAGAAAAATTAATGTGATCCGCTCCAATGAACTTCTGGAAATCAAAGATATCATCAGATCTATCTATGTGATACATCTAACTACACGAGTCTCGCTTCATCTTAACTCGTTTTCCTTATGATCTTCTCCATTTCTGTTGATTTTTTCCATCAAAAGAAGGTGTCATGAACTCTTTTACAAATGTATTGATTAACGTCTGTTTGTTAATGGTAAAAAAAAGAAGTTATAGTGTCATGAAAATATATTCCGGCTTTAAAAATGCCTCGATTTTTTAAAGCTATTTTAGATCTATTTCCATAATCAGTCTTGACATTCAGTCTTTGTCTACAGAGTCTTGTGCTCTATTGGTTGAAAAAAAATGTCGGCTTTTTTTTCAACAACGTTCAAATCTCAAAATAGAATTCAAAGCTAGCTAGCTATTTGCCAGAGATGAGAAAAAGCTTGTAGAATCTGATTGCAACCGACGATTACTAATAAATGCTTCTATAGAATGTACTTTCAGAGCAATAGGCATTTTGTTAGACAATTTACTAAATCAGTCTCGATATTTGTTTTCAAAAAGTGCAATTGCAATTCAACGAAATTTTGGAAAAACAACAAAATATTTTATTGTCATATTAACCAATCAAAGAGTAGGGCTCAAAACGATTACTGAGAAGTCTATTTCATTTTGTACTTTTGAAATACTAAATGTTTCATGCAGTACCATTAAGCAGAAAATGAAAAATAAAGTATTATTTTTTAAAAAGAGAAACAAGCATCCATAAAGTCAGCAATCAGACGTACTGTGGAATATGCAGACATTCTATAGAAATAGGCCGACGTGATTAAGTACCAAGAGAATATGTCTCGAGATTTTTTTAATTTGACTCTCGCTTAAACTTAACAGGCTTGACAAGAAGACATTACACTGACCTGCATACTTGTTTGAGCAGAGTCAGGATAGCCTCGCTTGATTCCAGTGGACCAAAATTCTGCGTAAGATTTTGCTGCATGTTTAGCTTTCAAGCCGCCATTCACAACAAGACTATGAGCTAGTGCAAGCATGCTATTCGTATCATCCGTATACATATGAATACGAGGTCCAAGTTCTGGAATACCCATATGTGGTGCTTCGATATCATCGCGTACTATTCCAAACTCACGCTTAATTCTAGCAGCTGAGTAACCTTCGACGCCAGCTCCTAATTGGTCCCCAATCATGTGACAAAGTAGACAGCCAATGCAGCGGTCGACTAATGGAATACTCATTTTCTTCTTATTCACAGATTCTACCAAAAGCTCTGCGACGAATCAGATCGACAATTTTTTATGAAGTTATGATAAAGAAAACAGGCAAAATGAAATTCTTTATGACGTAACTGTTAAGCGCAAAATATTGTGAAATACGCACGTGATGAAAATATTATTCTTGGAAGTCAATAGTAACGAACAACATCAAATATACACAAGTCAAGATACAGGTGTGCTTGAAAGAAGAAGTGGTTTTGATAATGAGCGAACAGAAAAGTGAGAGGAAAGAGGGCGTGCATATTCAAGTCAAGGCTATCCTGAAAAATACTCTTGTAATGATAAAAATTGTGTTGTATTCCTTGTTGATAACTTATGATACTATGTCAATTTGAAACAAGTAGCTAATTCAAATAGAGCTTTCGAACTGTAGCTAACCTCTTAGCCACTGTGACATGCAGTTTTATCTCGAATTGTGCTAAACTCATCATTTGCAATCGATTAACTCAATCTTTATTCTGATTTTTAAAGCAAGGATGTCTTAAAATATTAGAGCGTGCTTGAAGTTCCAAAGCTAAAATATGACACTCACTGAAGGGTATGAGTGTGGGTCTCAGAGTGGGCGTCAGTGTTGGTCTATTTTTGATACTCACATCTACATCCACACCCAAAATAATTAGATGAGTGATTTTGTAGAAAATGCTTGAGACAAAAAATAGAGATGACATTGCTGCTTTTATAATCATTACAATAGTGTATGTAGTATTCCTTAATTTGATTTCTTTTTTCTATTCTTGTTCAAAAAATAATATTCTTATTCCATCTCTCGAATATTTTTTTACCTAGTATCTCTCATCTCAATTTTTTTCTGTGATCGATTTAGCATTCAATATAGAGAAAAGATTTGCAAGAAAAATGAAAAATTTTACAATACTCTGAATATAGTTGTTACTCTAATGAATATTAGTCTTGTATTTAATGTCAAATGTCTACTGAACTACAATTATGCACACATTGACAAAATATGCAAATATCTAACATTTCTGTTGTATTCTATGCACTAAAACAATACCTGAAATCATGTATCAAAAACTGGCAATAGACACTAACCTGAAAAGTTAGTTTTTTTTAGTATTCTACAGAACAGGATGAAATAAATAAATACTTATAAAAAATAGTCGTATAGCAATTCGATTACCAAGATAGCTTATTCTAGAGGTATCTATATATAAATCATACTTAACCTTATCTAATCAAAGTCCTACTATTTCATTAAATCTATGTCTATGTGTTGCAATCTCTACATTAATCCTAGATAAGATATTCGACTTCTTATCTTGATTATAATGTTTTAGTAAGCAAAGACAAATCATCTACCGTCGAATGAAAAATTGTAGTAAAGCTTACTAGAAGAAATAAGTATATTGTATGACAATATTGAAAATACATAAAAAACTTTCATAATACTTAGAATAACACTTTTTCACTTGCTGAGAAAAATAAGAAAAGAGCCCTTGATAGAAGATTGATTCTAGGTCAAACAAGACCGAGAATCTCACAGAAGGAAATAGAAATTTCAGTAGAACTCACGATTTTGTAAAACATATTTAATTATTTTTCTACAAAACAAATTCTACATATAAGGGGATAGAACAATGATAAATGCATGAAATTTGTTCCTTCAACAGTTTCTCACGAAATACTTATTTTTCAATGCCAACTTTTAAAAATTTGTTAACAAAATATTAACACCTAATTTATTTCATTTAAACGTAGACATTACTGTCACATTTTTGAAAATGTTATGAAATTTTGTTGCAATTCGTATGCTTTGTTCCTCAAATATTATCAATTCTACTTCTAAAATTGAAAGATTGTTTTAGTAAATTATTTAGTGCAATTTTCAAAGTTGTCATATAGTTACTCAAGGAGGAAAAATGCGATTTGAGTAGTGCGAAATATGAATGAATTACAAATGCAGCAGAATGAAGTGTGACATTGCACTAGTGCTTCACCACAATTTAATATTACTTCGGAATACTGAAGTCGCGCTTTGTCCTTCTCGCATATTCCTTTTTGAATATTTCGCATGCGTAAATGTTTTTAGAAAGTTTTTCATGATTACGATTTCGTTCATAGATAATTACTTTATTAATATCAATACGCTTTAAAATATGAAGTAAGACTTGTTAACAGTTTGCTAAACTTATGTTTATTTTTAAAAATGAAAGATGTAACATTCGTTAGACAACAGAGTAAATTTATAGAGAAGACTAGATATAGACGAAAGTCGAGAAATATAATAATTTATGATCTCTACTTTGTCATCAATAACAATTGCCAATGTAAAACTAACTACTTTGAAACATCAATGAATTAAAAATGATGAAAACTATTCAAAAAAGATTGTAAAAAATAAATAGCAGAAACAAATATGATCTAAACATCATATATTTTTGTTTCTTGGAAGAAAATGTTCTAAAACTATTTTAATAAAAACCTTCACAATAGATTGAACATAATTTAGAACACGTAGCAACTGTACAGATCTAGTCCTATAGTCACAAATTATGAAAAATCGGGACAAAATTAGAATTTTCACTAAATGTAAGTTTGAAAAAAATTCAAGTTTTTGTTGCCAGTACACATTGGCCAACAAGAAAAAATATATATGCTTAAATGTACGTGGAATACGACCTTAGTGATCCATGGATAGTATTGAACATAAAGTGGTTAATCGAAATATCTTAAAAGAGTAAGCAAAATTTCTGTTAACTGAGTTTTTTAATGACCCATGCATCCTCATGAAATAGAACAAACCGACTCTTTTATTATTTCCAAGCGTAAAAAAGTTTACGGTGGAGTCGAGGTGTTCTATTGTGTCTCATTTATCTCGATAATTTTTAATCAAATAGATTTTTCACAAAATGAAAATGGTCTTAAGTGTTTCAGGAAGACTTTTCAATATTGTAAATGTCGACACATAACGTAAACTTGAACTATTGTATCAGAGATAGGTATTTCATTTTATAATTGTCAAGTCTTAATGTGCACGGTAGTTCCGCTTTAAAACTCCCAAAGTTCTCTAAATAATGGATTTAAGATATAGATGCACGAGAACTTAAGTGAAATTTTGTGGGCGATGTAGATAGATTTCACTAATGATGATCGATGTGTTGTCTTCTTTTCAAGTACGGATCGAATCGAATCGAGAGATTTTTCTTATTCGGATATATGAAATACCTTAGACTAAGAATAACACGGATATGCATCGGTATCACTTTTTATAAACACAAAGATCAGAGTTAAATAGTCATTTTTGTAACGGATCGCATTAAAATGACAAAAACAAATGGCTACTGGACATAAACAAAGTGTCGCATTCAAAAAGCTATCCATGTGTTTTCTCTCACATACACTCAGCATTTCAATGGTATTGGCGACTTTGTAGAACACCACGATACAATGACATATTTCTTTTTCTATTAAATATAAAAAGCAACAACAATGAGCATTTCTTCCATAATAATATAGAAAGATGGAATGTTCCATGATAACCCAATTGGAAGATCTAACTGTTGAAATTTTTATAGAAATTTTTGATTATTTCACAATCACTGAAATCTATTTGGCATTTTGTCACTTAAACAATCGTCTCAATTCAGTCATCAAATCGTTACTCAACTTGATTTTTGTATCAAAGGAGAATCGTTTACATCCGGTTCTTTCATTCTTCCATTCATTCAAGGCAATTCAAATCCAAAATTGTTATTTCAACATACTCTCTCATTACAAGCCTAATGTCAACAAAGGCGGCAATTGTTTTTTTTTCAAATTTACCCACCATTCGATAATGCCTGGCATCCCCATCCGGTTAATGAAATAGAAAATATAATTCGTCGTAGTATTTGTTCTCAACTGCGATCATTCCTTTTACTGCCTAGTTCACCTAAGTTGGTTCAATTTATATTTAGCGGTGAGTTTTCTCCCTTGAAAATAAGCCACCTTGGTCAGTGTGCTCCAGTCATTCTTTCTTTACCCATAACTATTCAACTACACAGTCTTTATCAACTGACTATACGAAAACAACATGGAAATGAATTCGAGACGATTTTATCAATGTTTTCTAATTTAATCTATTTCGATTTCTCGTGTAACAATGCAATTTCTCCATTTGTTTTCACAACTCGTTGCTTTTCATGTTTGAAATATCTTCGAATTGGTCGCATCAAAAACTTCTTATTTCATAATGGTCAATTCAATTTTCTTCTCTCAGTCTTTCCTAATGTACACGAATTTCATTTGACCGTCAGTCAATGTAAGCAACATCTTGAAATACTTGAATTCGACAAAGTTGTAAATATTCTGCTTCATCGACTTTCTTCTTGAAAAATATTAGATTTACGTATTTATATGACGAGCTATATGAGATTTTTACCTTCCAGACCGCACCTGCAAGTGATTGCCCACATGCATCCTCTCTAAAATATGTGCTTTTATGTGCAGTACTTATAATGCTTACTTTCTACGGTTTTGTTCCAAATAACACTTATAATTGTCGATATGCTCGTCCTTGTTCTAAATGATCATGTTCAAAATGAATTTATTAACAATAAAATTGGCATAGAAACATAATGCTACATTTAGTGTATTATGTTTTTTGATTGCTATTACTTGATTATCATGTCCTTTGTATCTGTTTCTTATTCTATTTTTTCTTGTGTTATTAATATAAAAGTCGCTAGATATTCATTCAGGATACTCTATCACAAAAATTAAATTAGAAAGATGAAAGATATAATTACCATCCACTAATCACTCACCAAATTGACTTTCGATCGAAACTCAGTTTCGTCATATCGATTCAGTCCTGTAGTCTGAAATACGCGCTTTCAGAATATGCATAGATTTTCTAGAAAAAAATCATTCATTCACCGTTTTATGATGATTTACGTCGAAGTCGCGCACAAAAAAAAAACAGCTTTTCAGCAATATTTTATTGTTTCTCTAAGCTACCGTTGTCAAATCAATGTAAAAGGTTTCGAGCTAAGAATCCTGAATATGATGAATACAATAGTGAGATATTAAAGAGTTTTCAAAGGTTTTAAGATATAGATGTTAGTTTTGCGACCATAATATGTACTTCTGTGATTTTTGAACATGGTGTTTTTGACTACATTTATATACAATATAGGATCATCAAAACTATATATACAATGGTAACAGGTTAAACAATAATTTTTTTGAAGAAATTCTTGCTCGACGTGCTGTTTTGTTTTCACGATGTCACTGATAATATACAACGCGAACATGAACCAAAATCTTAAAAACATTACACTAAACGATAGAATATGTTACGAAATTTTGAATGATATGTTGTGTTCGCTAAAATACGGCACTCTTCTCAACTTATTACAGGCATAATTTAATTTCATGAATTTCTTCTCGCTTGTTTTGACGAAGAGAAATAACTCTGTCCGAAATTGTGGTAAGATTTTTTTACAATTTAGACCCAAAGCCGATATATAAATTTTTCAAGGCATCTTTTTCTCGTTGTTTTGATGATTTCGTATTGTTTTTAATTATATCGATTTGGGAAGTTAATTTCAATAAAAATGTACTACTACAATCTGTTCAGTTTACGTTGCTCTATCAAATGAGATCATTCCGATCAAAATCAGACAAAAGTCACTTTTGTAACAGCTACTTGTTTCTCGGTGAAAATTTTTTATCTTTTTTTCTCAACACTTTAATTGGATGAAAATTTGATTATTTCTTAGTTAAGTTAGTCTATGTTCATGAAAAAATTTTTAGACTGATCGATCCCTAGGAAGATGAAATCGATTTTGCAGTACATAGTCTCTTAAAGCTTTAATAAATGTTCAAGATAAATGAGTTCTTACGCGTGACGGTGGAACAAAACATTTATATGCAGAACTGCATTGGCGAGACTTGAGATACTGAAGCATGTACTCTATCCCAATGCAGAAGGACTTGGAATATTAATCCATACATATTTCCAGATGCTCGATCGATAGTTCCTAATGATCTATCAATTACTTGAACATCATGTTAAAAATGTATCCTCTTTCGTAACACGAATCCAGGTGACTGTCAAATATTGATTGTATCGGTGATCAATTTTTCCTTACTTTATCCAGAACTGCTGTTAAAGTTGATGGGGCTCAAAACAAAGGTTTCGAAATCTGTCAATACTAGCTGAAAGTTCTCGTTTTTAACGACGGTTTGTATTACTCTCAATCAATCAGTATTGATTCAGCGACAACATTTTGGATTCGTTGAAAATAAACAACAGTTTCAGATAGAAAGATGCTATTCTGTGGCTCACTTGGAGTATTCTCTTCACCATGATGCATTGATATTTGAGAGGCGGCGCTTGTTATCATTCTGACAGTGTGAAAAATGGTTCGAAGCTTATCATAGACAGCTATATTTCAAAATTCTAACATTAACGATCTTATGCATCGAGTTATGATACTTCTACTACAATTATTCTGATAGTTCCATCGTGCACTTTTTCGAATAAGTTTAGGTAATTATTTTAGCAAAACAACAAGTGGAAAATATATGGATGAAAAATATAAACAATTTACTAAAAAAAACAGTCGATCATAGATTTCAACACCATTATTGTTTTCTTCATACTGGGAAGAATTCAATTATATTTATTTGCACTATATGTAGGACTTTTAGATAACTTTTATTTATGAAACAAATTTTTCTCATAAGCTAAATTAATTACAGTCAAATATGTATAGTGAAAACGGTTCGTCAAAATTCTATTCTACCTTGTTGTCGTAGTAAGTTTATATTTTATATTTCAGGTCTTTTGTCTTTTTATCAAATAAGTCGTATGTTTGTGTTAGAAGGTAACAAGACTTTACTTATCTTATCTTTCCTGTTTTTATTTTATTTGAATATTATTCAACAACAGAGTTCGTTAAAAATGACTACATACTTCAAAAGTAAAGCGTGCCAGTGCGCGATTTACTATAGACCGATGTAAACAAGAAGAAAACCTATTACCACACAAGGAACAGTGTGGGTAGGAATTAAGTTTACCGACATTCATGCAGACCATCGTTATGTTGGTTTAAAAGATATAAATAAGCGACAATTGGGTGTGGATTAGAACTACCAATAAGCCACTTTTTCAGATCCATTACATTTTTCACGCTACTGTAATTCATGACAGTCACAGCTCGCATCAACATCCACTTCCCATTCGAACAATCTTTTGCGACATTTGAAACATATTATTGTGAACATTTTCACGAGTTTCTCATGTGTATATTCTGCTTAGATAGGTAAAACTAAAGATTTTTTTTTTCTATCTGTCTTGAAATGTATCTCAAACTTACCCTCACTCTGCTTATTGAAAAAAGTGTCAAATAAAAATTAAAATGCAAAACATTCAACACTATCGACTGAAGACATGTGCTTAGATTCGAACTTCATCTAGATAGAATATCTAACATGTAAGAGAAAAGTATATTTCTTTTTCAGAAAAAAAAAATACACGCTTCAAATATTCAAAGCTGAAACTGAAGATCTGACATTTGAAAGCATCGTAACCAAGAATGAGTGAGGAAGTCTTTTCTGTTTTGCATAATTTACTTATTCTTCAATTTTTACGATTGAAAAATCCAATCTGTGGTAGTTGTTGGCCATCGCGGTAAAAACAACCGTTTTCTAATTCACTTTGAGGAGCATTGACGACATACAAAATTGAATCAGCACCAAACTGTGCAGGACGAGCACCGGATGCATTTTTATTAATGTCAGTGGCACAAAATCCTGGACACACGGAGATGATAAGTACATTTTTGGCACCAGACCATTGACGTGCTTCAATTCGAGTGAGAGCGATAACCGCTGCCTTTGTCACGCTATAAATTAAATACGATGACTTAGGATTGTATCCGAGTTCTTCGATAGTATTTGTGGCAATAGCTGAAATAAAACCTTCGACAAGACAATCGAGCTGCACTGTGGTCAATGTCGATGACGAATATTTCTCTTGAAGATCTTTTGAAGCTTCAAATAATACGATTGAACCACATGCACTGGCTACATTAACCACTCGACCATTCTCTCGTATGAGAGGAAATAAATGTTCATTCAATGTTTTGATACCATAATAATTTGTAGAAAACATTTCTCGAGCTGATTCAACAGTTAATTCTAACCCTCCAATAGCAGCATTGTTAATGACTATATCCAATTGACCGCCATACTTGCATTTAATTTCATCTGTAGCACGAGCGATACTATCTCGTGATGATATATCTACTTGGAGAACATAGACATTTGATGGTGAGCCTAGTCGAACGAGTGCATCTTGACCTCGTTCCAAATCACGACTGCCAAGAAGAATGATATTTTTATTGATTGGTGATTCTTTCGCAAGTTTCTTTACGACTTCAAAACCTATACCTTTGTTGGCTCCAGTAACAAGAATCACACGTTGTTGGCTTGTTGATGACATGTTGATAATAAAACATGATGATGATGATGAAAGAGAAAAGGTCGAGATAATGTATATACACTTTTACTTACATACGCGAACAGTCATGATAAGCATACTTATACCTTGCATACAAACATGTGTGTTGATTGTCTCTGACATTGCGCGTCAATGACATTACATTTGATGTTTAACTAATTTTTATTTTATCGTCTTCTTGCTGGGTGTGGATGTGGGTGAGGTGTAAGTGTGAGTGGGATGTGGGTGGAGTGTGGGTGTGAGTGAAGAGGAGATCCTAGCGACACAACATACACTCACACTCACACCCACAATACAATGATTCGATAGAGAACATTGCTGCGATTGGTGAGGTTGGCTCAGGGTAAGATAAACTGTTTTGATATCCAACTGGTCATCTGATAGGCTTTTCAAAGCGTAGATTTAAGCCGGTCGATGGGTATCGAAGCTTCAGGGCGTGAGTGTAGATGAACACAAAATCAATAATCGCACGTACACTCCGAGATGCTCGTACACCCTTCGCGTGGCTACGTCTCTGAATGTTCACTAGGAGCATCGCTCGTTTTGTTTTTCATGAATTTTACTTTGGAGAAAAAAAATATCCTTTTTTTCCCTTTGCTTGAAATGTTGGGTAAACGATAAAGTGAGGACTATCTATTAATGAATGAGGAATTTTTATAGCTGCTATCCTCATACACACTAATCATAATGATTAAAAATACTCTGATGGTACTTGGTCAATTTTTCAAGCATGTGTTCAATGGCAAAAATGTCATAAGAAAACGACCACTTTCAGCGTCAATCAATAGATGCAGACAATCATAGCGCGGTTGAATTTAAATAATGTGGGTTGCTAGAAAAAATTCACATAAACTACCAGAAGACATTGGCAGAATATGCAGTTAACAACAGCCGACTGTTGAATGGCTTCCACCGCAGCTACTAGTTCACCCCTTACACTTTCAACGGACACAGCGACACTATTGATGTAGCCGACATTTGTCAAAATTAGTACTCTGCCTCCATAAAATCTTCTGAACAATCAAGATCTTTAATAAGTTAAACTATTGGGGTCAAACAAAAAAAAAGTAGAAGATGAATGATGTTATATTTATTTGAGATATATTACAATATCCATTGATTAACAAACAAGATTCATCGAATCGATATTGAAGAAAATATGCATGGTTGTGAAGCCGCCTGTCTCTTGATACCGCTGTTTCATGCATGACGGTACTGGATCGCGAAACGCCTAGAATAAAAAGAACATAATACAATGATAAATAAAGGACGTCGAAATCAAACGCTCGTACCAATACGGCGGCCAACGGTGGAAATTCGGTTCGTTTTGTATTTTCGAATTTGCCAATAAGACTTCATCCGAATCCGGTCAATTTACCTTTGTTGTACAAGAGAAATGCGGGAAAGACTTCGTCACGGTTCGTGTCAAGTCGATTGTCATACCAATAGTGTCGACCTAAACCGAAGTAGGGTGGATATAAAGAGAGAGAGAGAGAGAAAATGATCTATTTACCCATTGACAGAAAGCAGCTACCCTTGTCCCATTTGGTCTGGTCAATACCACTTTCAAAGAGTGGAATTTGAACAGAATCACGGATTGAATCCGTACCATTTTGCAGCCAAAGTCTAGTACCTGTGCCTTCATGTTTGAGATTGACTGGGTCGCGGCCTGTCGAACAAATGATGAGTGGATTGACAAAATAGGCGGTAAGAATATGAGAATCGATGCCGATAACTTGGACACGAGTCATCATTTTTTGTGTCGAAAATTTGTAATACCTATCTGTGATCAACGTGTCTGGAACCTGATTAAAAGTTACGAGAGAGAAGAAAAAGCATAGAAAGGAGACAAGAACAGGCAACTTACTGCCATTTGCATGCCGGCAATGGTACCCTGTTTGTCGTAGATTAAAATCAGAGCTGGGTTATCCTTTTTAACTACTCGATGTCCGAGAAATAGACCTAAAATGAATAGAGCGTCAGGGATGTGAAAAGTAATTCAGCAGAGAAGTTCAAACACTTACCGTCGCATTGACCTTCAATTGGAATGAAACCTTTTTTCAGTGCTTCGACACGTGTCAGAGGCTGTTTCGTAAAATATTGACTACTCAATGGATTTGGACCACAAGTAACCTTGAGGGAATCCCAAGGGGCCCCGTACCACACCCTCCGAATAGCAACCCTTTGCACTGTAGAAAAACAAATATAGATGGTGAAAAGTTCACATGATTGTTCGATTTCTACTCGACTTACATTCTCCGATGCATACAAGCAAAAGGGATTCCGGATCTTCGCCAATAAAACTTTAGCCAAATAGCACTTTCGCCAATGGCGAAACTCCACTATACTTTCGCCAATAGACACACTGGAATATCGCCAATTGGCGAATGTCCACTGTACTTTCGCCACCACACTTCATGGAGTTTCGCCAGTTGGCGAAAGTATAGGAGATTTTCGTCAATTTAAGTGCTAATTAGACGTGAATTAGAAAATGTGCATTGATTATATTAATAAGTTACGTTTGTGTATGTTGTAGTCATATATTTTTTATGGCATTTTAGATAATAATTATGCCGCCCCTTGTTAGCGTGAAATACAAGATCATTAGCTAATACAATCAAGTCTCTTTCTCATCTTGTTGGTGAACCTGTTTGTCGTGGACGAAAGGGAAAGAAAAAAAATTAATGTTTCGAAATCAGACTTATCAGGTGCATCACCAGATGAACATTAGGTTATGCTTTATGTGCCTTTTTCTTCATATTAATCTCGCTTTTTTCTTATTAAAAACATGACTCCCGCATATATGAATATACTCTAAGCGTAAACTATAGTATATATTCTAACAGTATTAGCTTTAGCTCTTACATGTATCCTGTATTAATATTATTTTGTGACGGCTGACAAAACTCTGCTATACTTTCGTCAATTGGCGAACGTCCGCTGTACTTTCGCCAATACATACCTTGGAATTTCGTCAATTGGCGAAAGTCCACCGTACCTTCGCCAACACATCCCTGTACTTTTGCCATTGGCGAATGTCCTATTGGCGAAAGTCCGAATTGGCGAACTTCCGGTAACCCAAGCAAAACAAGAATCAAGTAGTTCATCACAACGTTTTCTTGTTAGTGTTGATACGACTACTGTAATAAAAAAAGAAAAAGAAATAAGGCAACCCATTTTATTTTATAGCTACCTCTAGTGAGCTGGTGAGAAACATGATCCATGTCTCACTGAAGACTATGATCCTTTTGTAAATGATTTTCTATCAGTTTTTGACTTTTCGAAGGCAAATAGAAAATACATTACTGATTATTTTGTACTAATCTGCTCTTTTCTTTGTCTCGTTTTTCTTTTATTTTTTATCAATCTGAGTAAAACGAGATATTGAATAGAAAAAGAAAAAGTGGAGCACATGATGAGTGTTAATGCAGGACTTGATCAAAGCCGTCAAGCTAGAACGCGCTTATAATTGCATGCGAGGGATGCAGCGTATAAAAAAGAGAGAAACAATTAAAGATGTGCAAAACCAGGTAACAATATTCATTATTTATTCAGCTTTCGTAAAATTACTATCGTTTTTTTCCGAGTAGTAAATCATATGTCGAGTGATGTATTTCTCCTTGTATAGAGCCTTGAAAATTCTAAGAAAATTTCATTGGCTAGGCATGTCATCGCGATTTACAGACCGTTTGTAATTAATGTTCGATTATAGCAACGGATTTTGACTTGATTCGTGTGATATAGTGACTATGTTATCGTCCGGTATGCGGGTACAGTGTGAAACTGTCCATGTTTTTCCTTTTCTATTCCATTTGGTAAACTTTCATACAAACAATCATACGTTGAGTGTGGGTTTAGATGCGGGGTGTGCGTATTGGAGTCGGTGTTGATGTGGCTGCGGATGAAGACAATATTGATATCCACACCCAGACCACCTACTATTTGACATACTCCCAATTATCGGATATTCAATTTAACAAACCAGAAAAAATGAGAATAAGACTTCTTATCGATGATTATTTTTGATCAATGGTTCCAACATTCGATCATTTCACTCAACTGGAGGTACAAGCAAGTGATATTAATGAAGAATATACAGAACAATTTCAATTGTTTTTTTCTCGCGCCTCTCAGGTATCGTCATTAAGTATCTGAATATTTTTCAATAGTGGCCATGCCTTATAATTACTATTGGAAACAAAGCATGCTTGGATCAAACAGATCGATCTAGTGGAATTGCCTGACAGATTCGATGAGGAGCAATGTATGAGATTGGATTGTTCGCCTTTTGCTATGCAATGTGAAGAACTTCGCATTAGTGTAACACATCGTTCACCAACATGTTATCTGCTCAAAATGATCAGCCAAAGGAAACTTTCCCAAAAGATGAACTGGTCGATTGGTTATGAGGGCAACTCTTAGGCTTACGTCCATTGATTGAAATGTCACGTTGGCATAATACTATTCAATTGAAAATGGGTCAAATCTCTGTTACATGATATCAAGAGACAATTAATAGACTTTTCTATATAATTCAATACCAGTGCGCGTGTGGGGGGGGGGGGGGGGTGGGGTATGGGATGGAGTGTGGGGTGTGGGGTGTGGGTGTCGATGTGAATAGAATCAACACCCACGCCCCACCCACACCCTGTGTGGTGTAGCTGCGGGCATTAGGAGTAAGAATACACATGTCCTCAGCCATCCACATCCACACCTATTACTGCCACTACATTTTAAATATTTTCTATTTAGGACACGCATTATATTGATACCCATTTACACGTGGAACCTGACCGATAACAACAAAAGAAAAAAGACGATAAACAAAAAGAGAACTCTTATCTATAATATTATGTGCTCTGTTACAATATAGAACAAAAGACATATGCTTTCACTCCATACCTTTTGAAAAATAATGGTAAGATCGACGTTGATGTATGTCTCTTATGAAGGATAATGATAAAAAACAATTTGAAGTAGTATTCATAAAAAACTTTTGTAGCACATTATAGCGCGTCGAAAATGCGATTTATCGATTCTATATAGTAAAGGATATGGTAAACTTTTAGTTTCGAACTCAGAAACTTTGTGGAATTTTACACCATCTTGACATTGAAAAATTACTTCCATGAGCCAGTTCAAGCTAGATCTCACTTAAAATGAGAAATCACACAAAGTACTCAACACCTGGCTCGGCAATATTGGAACAATAATAAAAAAAAACCTCAAACAAAATTCTATCGAACACGGAGCACAATGGTTATAGTGAAGAAATTTTCAGAAACATTGAGAGAAACATTGGCTTATTTGATACCATTTCATGTTCGTATCAGGCTCATCTTCTTTCTGTAAAGAATGCTAATGGCCATCGTATTGATTATTGATCATATTCATCAAATCTTCAGTGATCAATAGTACTTGGTGATATTCCTCAGTTTAAATGAGATCTAGTTTGAACTACCTCTTGGAAGTAATGTTTCGATGTCAAGATGGTGTTAAATTCCACAAATTTTCTGAATTTAGCACTAAAAACTTACCATACCCTTTACTATTTAGAATCGATAAATCCCATTTTCGATGCGCTTTAATTTGGAACAAAAAATTATTATGGATGCCATTTGAAATCCTAGCATTATCCCATTGGAAAAATATTTTAACGCACTCTGTACAGCTAACGGGTCAATATAAAACAATATCTCTACTTAAAACAAGCTTCTTCCTTCAATTTAGTGTTACAACAAAAAGGCAAATGTCAGAATCAAAATATTCCAATTGTGCTGTGCTTGTGATTGATTTACAGAAAGCTTTCTTCGATAGATCGCCGAGTCTTCTTGAAAATCAACCTAATTTACCAATAAATATAAAAAACTTATTTACTATATGTCGATCGAATTCAATTGACTTGATTCATATTCGCGCCGTCTACAACAAAAATGATTCAATATGGTTTTCTTCTTCATCTAAAGTCAACTCAATTCCGATCGATTCTATTGAAGACGTTACAAGTGAGGTAGCTGGCGAATGGGCAAATGCTGAAAACAATGAGAAAACCATTATTAAACATACCTTTGATGCATTTTACGATACTGAGTTAGAAGAATATTTGAAGTCGAATGGAAAAACGATTCTATTACTGTGTGGTGTAGTCGCCAATGTTTGTGTTTTGATGAGCCTACATGGCGCTTTTGCACGTGGGTATCAAACGTTGATTATTAACGATTGTATTGCAGACAAAACCAAAGAAAGGCAAGAACATTTCCTCAGCACTTTTGGTTTTATGTTCAAAACAACTTCTTCAAGTAGATTATTGCAAGATTTAGATCAAATACTAGCATCAATTTGAGTACTGTCTTCTTCAAACAAGCATAAATAATATAGAACCACGATTAAACCCTCAGTCGAGTCATTGATGAACACATAAGATTTCAAACGATAGAGTTTCAATTGTTGCTTCTAGTTTTTTTACGAAAAGATATTTTTATGTAACCCTTTACTAAAACGTGCTGCTCAAATAACAACATAAAATGTAGGAAAAAAGCTACCATGAAGTTTATCACATTTCCTTGAAAATCGCAGATTGTTTTTCATCGTTTTGCAAATAAAAACATCAACAAGGTAAGACAATTTGTACAATAAAGCTTGCCCTGGTTTATAGTGTAGAGTGAAGTTCTTTTCGACTAAGTATTGTAAGTAAAATAAAATTACCATAGTAAAAGGACTCAACACAAATGAGGCAAGCCACGAAGTTATATATTGAAATAAACCTTTCACACTGATGGCATCCCAATAATCATGGTGACGATTCTCCGCATGATCTGATTGATCTTAAAGGATATTAGTGTGGGTGTGGGGTGATGGCAGATGTGACTGTAAACCTTGTTGACTCGTTCCCACACCCTGGATGTGATATTAAATTGATACTCATACCCACATCCAGATCCACACCCGCACATCCACACCCCCACCCCCACCATATTATTATTTCTTTTCGTCGTTCTTTATCGTTCATTATATATCTAATATTCTTAAACATATCTTTTCTTTCTAACTATTCATTCTCTATTTATATTCACCGTAAAAATGTTGATAGAACACATTTTTTTCCAGTAGGGGAGTGTTAAAGTGAGATGTCGCCCACTTACATATCCTCACTTTTCCTCTATCTTCCCCCCTCTATATTCCTTTTTCATTTGTTTTCCTTTTTCTTTTCGTTCTTCACTTATGGATTCGAATAAAAATCAGATCGTGTGCAAGTACACACGCTACGCTAACGGCTTCTTTCTTTGCTTATCATGTCACTTTTTTGACTACGTAAAAACATCGACAATTACGATGCAGAGAATGAAGTATCAACGTTGTAATTGAGTTTTACAATGTATGAAAATAAGATGAAAAAGGAGAAGAAAAAAGTATGAATCAAGATATAAATTCAATGCTTTCTTTTTGATGAAATAGAACAAATAAAAGCTTCAACAAAAATATTAAGAGTGAGTAGTGTTTTAGTGCTCTTTTCTCTAGATGGTATCTTTCAACGAAACTATTCGTTCGACTTGCGGTTCACTATTTTTTT